CCTATCCCCTGTGTGCCTTTGCCTCCCACGACTGGACTACTATAATGAATAGTAATATAGGTGGAATGGGAGCCATTAGATTTTTTATCAGGTGATTCAGAATGCATATTACTATATGAATTTTAATATTTTTTTCTAGAAATCATATTATAATGAAATTTTAGACGTGTGCACCAAAAAATATCACTCACAATTAAAAAATATTCTTCCAAAATATAAAATGAGCAAAATACCCCTAAAAAATAATGGGGGTAATTTGGCCATTTTAAATGATTGAAAATAGTTTTTTTATATATTTATATGGTGCACAATAGTGTTAGGTATATATACCCGAAATTTCATCTTAAAATTCATATGGTAATATGCATTTGGAACCACATGATGAAGATTTGACAGTTAAGATTCTACCTATATTATTATTCATTATAGCTGCCCAACTATTGTAAGGTTCTCTCTCTCTTTGAAATGGGAAAGTACGGTCCGACACAAAATCATGCCGAACTGGTAGTGAGGCTTTTGGAATTTGAAGTCATAATCCGTTCCGACAAGAAATGTGCTGGACTGGAAGTACTTAGCAAAAAATGCGGTTCAGCAGAAAATGTGTCGGAGCGGTTTCTTCCTCCTAACTACAAGCAAGTCCAGTACATTTCTTGCTATGTTCTTTCGGTTCGGTATATTTCTTGTCAGGCCGTGGAAAAAGCAATAAAAAAAATTTGGTGTGTCGAACCGAATTCTGGCTTCAAATTCCAAAAGCCTCACTATCGGTCCTACACACTTTAGTGCCGGACCACACTTTTCCATTTCAGGTGGACAGAGATAGATTGACATCGTGCGGGGAAGAGAGAGATATATCGGGCAGAAAGAGATAGATTTCAGGCGGGAAGGGAGAGAGACAGGATTGAAAGGGTAGTTTAGTTTTTAACATAGTAATTTTTTGATTAGGGTAAAAACAAAAAAAAACAGAAATTGAGTTAATGGTGTGATATAAAAAATATTGAGGGTTGGATATCTATAAAATACATTCGAGGGGTATCTATAATTTTTCGTGATAAAAATGAGATAATAGAACCTTGCAATAAAGTTACCAACCTTATGAACCATAGAATCAAATTTTAGTCATTTTACACTGCAATAAAATTACCAAATTCATAACCCAAATAGTCAAATTTTAGTCATTTACCCGCTTCGTGCGTAAAATTCCCATTCTTTTTTGTTGGAGAATAAGAAGAGGAAACCTATTCGATTTCTTGTACATGAGGGTGTGAGGTGGTATTATTCTATGAAAAAGAAAGCCTGTACACCCCGAAAATAATGCCAAATCAGTGGTATCCACCCTAATCAAACAAAAACATTCATATTGAATTCTAGAGAGAGAGAGATAAGGCATCCTAGCTAAAAAAATAAGAAGTATGGTGCATAGTTGAGGAGAGAGAGAGAGACACATAAAAGGCATCCTACCTAAAAAATAAGAACCATGGTGCTTAGTTGAGGAGAGAGAGAGAGAAAGAGGAGAGAGATAGAGATTAAAGAGTGGGAGAGAGGATTACTGGACAAGTGCTCGGTTTATGATGGATTATTGCTTTGGTTAGAGAGAGAGAGAGAGAGCAAAATCGCCGGCATCCTTAGCTTATAAAAGCACGGTGATTAGTTGTGAAGATTACTTTTGAGTAGGTGTACATTATTTTAGAGGGAGAGTTTTTTAACAAAGGGAAGAGATAGAGAGAGAAAGCTGAATGAGAGGGAAAGGGGATGGTTATTCAAAGTTTGACAGAGAAGAGGGAATGGTTATTGAAAACTAGAGAAAGAAAGAGAGCTGCATGAGACGGAGGGTTGGTTATTCAAAGGTAGAGAGAGAAAGAGAGGTGCATGAGAAAGAATAAGAGAATGGTTATTCAAATTTAGAGAGAGAGAGTGTCTGTGTGTTTACCATATTGATGACATCTCTAGTGGCCATGGCCAAGATATCAGCACACGAGACCCGGTTCCTGCACCCTGGAACCGCATCAACAGCCGCCTTCGCTTGCATCACTGTGTCGAAGCCATCGCCTGCAAGTGATAGATTGTCGCTGCTATCCTTCTCCGCGTTATTGCGAGGTGACGCGATCATCACGGATGCATCGCACCCCTAAATTTCACAAGAAATGAAAACAGATTACAAGTGATTTGGGAGGGAATATGATTTCTCTCTTAAGACCTATAAGAGAAAAAACATGAAAATGGGGCTAAAGGAAAGAGAAATTCACTTGCCTCAACAAAGCAATCATGGAAGAAGAGACGAAGAGTTGCAGGCGCAGTGACAAATGTTTGCCTCAACTTTCTTGTAACTGCATTTCTCACTATGAACTCAACATTAGGGCAGGTTGCACTGTAAAAGTTCCTTCTCAGCTGAGCTGAAACAAGAGGGAGAAGAACCAGGAGAAACAAGAGGCAAAACTTAGCCATTGTTTCTCTCACTAAGAAGGTTTTTTTGTTGTTTCTCTCGCTAAAGCGTATTTTCCTGTTCCTCTGACTAATAGGAGGTTTAATGGGTTTTGTGGGGTGTGGGCTTTAATGGGTGTTTTGAGGGGATTATATAGAGTTGAAGGTGAGAGCAAATGGGTTGTTCCACCCTGTCAAGAATCTTGAAGTGTTCAAAATTGAAGCTGGAATTCAGATTGTATGAATTAATGGATTAAAATATGGAGCAAGGTGCAATATTATTTGAGAAAATGGCATGGTCTCAAGGGATTGGAGTTTGAGATTTTGAGGTGGTCACCGTTTAGTAGGAAATTCAATGAGAGAGAGAGCGGGAGGGAGAGTTGCTCTTAAGTAACCAACCTTGTTTTAACGCGGCCGCTTATTAACAATAACAAAATCCAGTTGGCCTTCTTGTAAAAGTTGATATTTAGGACAATTTGGAAATAAAATATGATATGTAGGACAAGTAGGAAGCGCTGTGTTAGGGTACTCTTGTACACGGAGGAGGTTGTGTATGTGTATATACAGAGACCGTTTATCTTTTGTACATAGAAGTAAGTACATGGAAGTAAGTGATAAAGTTTAATAATGATTTTTCCTATTTTGAAATTTAAATGCCAACAAATATAGTGACCTCTACATACAACAGATAGAGGTTGCGGCTCGTATAGAGCCAAGGATCTAAACAATCAAAGTAAAACGCACCTTCTAATAGTGTCGAAAAATGTGATTTTAATACTGCAAATCTTTATAGATAATCATTTTTCGTAATATACTCAATATTTTTAGAAGTAATGACATTTTTTGTCATTATGAGAGGTAACATTGATATTTTTATAAAAAATAGTAGCATTCTATTAATAGTTAAAAAAATAATTAATGTTTCTTATGTGTGTGATGGTACATGTGTGATGTCATGTACCATGTCATATATGTTATTGTCCACTATAGTTAATAAGTTTCTAATAAGAATTTTTACTTTATCTTTAACTAATCACTTAAAATAATATTAGGCAAAAAGTTACAGCATTGAGCAACAAGTGACTAAAAATATGACACCAACTTTGCTTCTGTAATTGTAATAATGGGCATAACAAGGACCATTGTGTTCTTGCTTTTTCTTTGAGAATCTTGCTCTCGTCCCCCTCCTCTCTCTCTCTCTCTCTCTAAATTGGAGTGGTGTCTCTGTCTCCCCCTAAATTGAAGAGGCATAGTTATTTTTGCTTTTTTCCTTTTTTTTCTCCTCAAATGGAAGTGGTAGGCTACCCACATTTTTCTAGTTGACCAGTGGGCTTAAATAACAATAATTATCAGGATATTATTTGTAGGGAACTTTATCGAGATATTTTCTGATTTTCATAGTTATCGGGATATTAGGGACTTATCTTAATAATCATAAGGACTTCAATACGTGAAGTTAATTTATTATTTATTACGGAATAAGTTCTATTAGAACAAGAAAATAATAATTCAAACTATTAAAGTTACATGAAACCATTACAAATTCTATGAATGATAAAGTTGATGACATTCTCTACTGTAGGGGTGGCAGCGGACCGAGCCAAGTTGGGCTAGCCCTAGTCCCTATTAGGCCAGCTCGAGTCCAGCGTCCCGATAGGGCCTGTCAAGGCCGGGCCACATGTTGGACGATTTCTAGAGCTTGGTGGCACGGTACGTGGATATACAAATGCGACTCAAGAAATACTTAAACACCCAACCCAACCCAACCCAACCCAACCTGGTGATTAGCCATGGATAGAACTACTCCCATCTGCCCGAGTGTATTTGATAGGATAGGGACTCGTATGTATTTGCCGGAGCGTAAGGATAGAATAAATGGGGTTTAATAGCATTCAACAGAATGATCCAAATGTTTAAGTAAAAGAGTGGATGCCATCAATTTGATAAAGAGTACTGAGGATTTGAAAGAGTGTGTTACCACTGGTGACTACTTTCAGTCAATACATGCAGTTACATTTTTTTGTTCAACACATTATCTTCATCACTCACAACTGCGTCTGATTAACCTTGTATGATTCTAGAATAAGGGGTCTCTAGTCTTTCTCGAGATATGCTACCGGTGCAGTTTCAACTAGTGTCAAAATTTTACTAAAATACCAAGTCAAATACAGTGAAAAGTATACAAAAGAAAAAAAAATAAGGATCAAAAAAGGGCCAGACCAGGCTGAACCACACGGGCCCTGTCTCAGACTTGGCCCAAGCCCTGCCTGGCCCTATCCTCAGGCAGTGGTGGCCCAAGCCCACGTTGCCCTGTCCTCAGGTAGTGGTGGCCCAAGCCCGAGTTTTTTAACCTACTCTATTGTACAACAAATATGAAGTATCAAAAATCGATACATGCCTACTAGCATTAACCTATGTATCCCACTTTCTATTTTTTGAAAACTGCTCCCCATTTGCCTTATCAATATTTTACAGTTGTTTTAAAGCAAGTAACATGTTTCTTGTCAATGCAAACTACTAATTTTCCCTTTCAAATTATATACATGTTATTATAGAAATAGTATTTTACGTTGATAATAATGAGAAGCTTTAAAATAGGAATATATATCAAATACCCACGAGAGTTGCACTGTTTACCATTTTATACATTTGGGACTATTCAAACTCATGGTCATTATGTTGTTATGGATATTTTGAAATTAAATCAAACAATATATACAAAGTGATAAATAATGTATCTATCACTATTTTGATAAATGAAAAGTATAAAAAGCGATCATTTACTTTTAGTACAAGCAGATCATAACCATTCTTGTTCATCAAATTTTAAATCAGATGGTTGTAAGTGTATTTGTGACTAAACTTAAAACTCAACAAAAAAAAATTTGAACTTCGTGACATACCCCAAGCCATCCAATTGAGCATCTAATGGTTTCGATTAATTGTGACCTCCTTGCACTAAAGATAAATGGTCTCCTAGTATGCACTCCTTTTGATAAATTCCCCTTTAAATTATCATATTTTATAGAGACGTTATTGGATTTAGTATCAGTAAAACTTACAATAATGAAACAAAACATAAAGTATTTCTTATAGATAAATGTTACTAAGGCCAATGTAGTTTCACAAGTAAAAAGCAAAAGATAGAGAAAAAAATAGATTGCAAAATTAAAATCGAAAAGGAGAGAAATTCTCACATTAATTTATGATACCTTGTTTCCTTATTAATGGAAACTGCTCGAAGAGATGTAATACTGTTATATTACCAACTATATCTTGCATGGCCAACTGCTTCCACTCTATTTTCTCTTTCTTATGAAAAATTGCTCCCACTCTGCTCTCTATGTCTCTTATGCTTTTTACTGGTATGAATATATGAGATTCGTATACAAAATATTATAGGAAAATTTATTAAAATAAACCTAAGAGTTCAATTCAACTATTTAACTCATTCAATTTAATTTCCAAATACTCATCAAAATCGCATGACCATAAGGTGGAATAATTGATAAAGGTTAAATTGTTAAATTATTGAAAAGCTAGGTGTATTTTGATAATTTTTTATATATTATATCACAAAAGGCCTATTTATAGTCTGATATTAAACTGGATGGCTTTCGCTGTGCCAATTATTTCGTACAAAATTAGAGAGAATTATTTTTTTGGACTGAATATCCTTAATAGTACAATCCCAACTGCCCAATTTTACATTTAATGGCTAAGAGTGATTGCGATATTTTTCAGCAAAAATAAACAATCTTATTATATACTTTCTTTATTTCCATTCTTTTGGTCTCATTTTACCATGATTTCTCCTCAGTTCTCCTTACAAAATACAACGGTAATTTCAAAAGAGATTTGTAGTGATTGACTTTTTACTTTGTGTCCTTTTGTCAAACAATTTTTTAAGGGTGCAGTTGGCATACGGATGCATATGTAATTGTAGAGGTAAGGTCCAACTTCAAATTTTATCATAGTAGATAATTTTGATGTAAAATATTATTAAGATTATTTCAAAATCTATTTTATATCTAATTATAAAATTTTAAATTTAAAAAATGGCTAAAATCAAGTAGATCTATAAACATATGATAATCTTGAAAAAGAACGATGTAGATAATATGTTGTAAAATGCACTATTTCTGAGACTTAAAATCTTTTTATTTTTTGTGGTCACACATCTCGATGTCGAGATGATCAATCAAAGGGCTTTTCAAAATTAAACTACCTTTTCCAATGGATTTTTAAGGTGCATCCGTAGCTATAGAGGTAAGGTTGCAACCTTATATAAACTTTTTCCATTTTTTAATTAACTTTTGGGTTTTAATAGAAAAGATAACCGGTTCAAAAAATACACAAGCTTGAGTGGCCCCACGTGTGGCACGTGAGGGATCAAATTTTTTAGATTTTTTTTTTTAAAAAATTTGAGATATGAGATGGTCAACTTCAGTGGAGAATTGACGGATTAAATTATATTTAAAAAAATGATGGCTTGAATTTTCTTAGTTCATCTTTATTTTATTTTTGTTTTTTTGGGTTTATGATTGGGTTTATGATTGGACTGGGGTCTAATTGAACCCAGACCCAACCATGGGTCAGGTCTAGGTCTAGATACTTATATATACTGAGTAGAGTCGGGTTAACCCCGACCTAACCCACTAGGATCCAAGCCGGACCTAGACTTGAACCAGGATGGGTCTAATCATTTGGATCCAGACTCGGCCCACAGAGTCTAACACGTAAACCCAGACCTGATTCTGATCAACCCGCGGTCGAGCCGACCTGATTGCCACCCCTGAAGACAACTTTACCTCCACACATTTTCAACAGGGTAGAAGCACCCACATTCAATGAAACCACGCTAAAAGATAGAATATGAAAGTGTAACCAATATAAGTTGTAGTTATGCTCTCTTTTATAATTTAACATGGGCACATATGGAATTAAGTGTCCTTGACCTAAAAAAGTCAGTGTTTAGTTGTGATCTCTTTCTCCCTTAAATTAGTAAATGAATTTTGCAGCTGCACATGGCGTCCCCTCAGCCTTGGGTACGGTTCTTTAGAGGCTTCCCAAGACTTTTTAATCTACTGATTAAAAATAAGAGTTTTTTAATCTATATTGATAGCTTTTCTCAACTACATTTAGAGCTTTCAATACGAATTTGCACGTCCAGACTAAAATATTGCCATTTCATGTGGGCTTCATTCTCTACATTTGATATCCAAGAAACAAAAGGATTTTTTTCTAATGAAGGACATCCTAACAACAACAAAGAGCCAATCATAGATTGGGGTCAAAAAATTTTGGGAATGTAAATACAATGTGTCTTTATGTTTTGAGAAGTGTGCATGCATGCAGGATATTTTAGCCCTAGCACTTGCAATTAAGTTTTAGCGGTGGAAACCTTCAAATCGAAAAAAAAAAAATTCAAATCTTAAAAATAGTATATATTATAAAACATCATCTAGACTGTCCATTTTAAGAGTTCATATATCAACGAGATCTGTACATTTTTAGCTACAAATTTTATAATTGGCGATAAAAATATATTTTAAAGTCATTATAAGAGTTTCCTACACAGTATTTTCTCGACGAGATTTTAAGGTGAGGCTATATTTTTTTCTTTATTAGGCATGGGCCTAAAGGATAATGAGTACTTTTTTCTTTAGGATGTAGGTGCGTCCAATGACACTTTTTTATAGTGCGTCCACCCTCTTAAAATCCGCCTAGGAGATGGATTTTAGATCCAAAATTTTGCCAGACAATCATCTAAACACTACAATCATGAGCCATTTTTATATTTAACTTCAAAAAGCCCTTCAAATTTCGCCTGATCATGAGGTGAGCTTGAATAGTTGAAAAAGGGTAAAATGCTAAGCAATTGATATATGTAAAACTTTCATAAATTTATCAAATTATAATTGACGATGACAACGGCAATGATAATATCCCTTGGTAAAACTAACATTCTTACTGATAACAAATCACTTTGGTCAAGCTTTTAGGAGCATAACAAGGCTCGATTTGATGACATAATTGTCATTTCAAATCAATAGCTTTGTTTATCTTTATGGGCCAACCTCGACGAAAAGAGTTTTTCTTTTGAAATTCTGGAAAATATATTTTTTCGTTTTATTAGTCTAAGAAGACTTTCTATGACATGTTGTAGATGGGTTAAGAAGAAATAGACTTTACCAAGATTAAGGGAACCAAGTTGAACTTATTAATCTTGAATGGATGAAAATATATCGCTATTCGAAAATATTAATCTGAGGGTGTTTGATGGAATTTCTAGTGTTAGAACTTAACAACACATCCTATGGCAAATTACATGCTTGATGCTTCTAAACTTTTGACCTGAAGTCTAATGCCCAACCTCCATCAATATCCTATATAGTGTGAAATAAGAGTGTGCATTTGTCATTTCAGCTATACATGTCAGATGTAATCAAAGTGGAAAATATCATTTAAGGGCTCATAACCGCCTAAAAATTATGTGCTGGGTCAAAACATCTCAACGTTTTCTTTTTTTTTCCTTTTATTTCATTAAAATACCTCCTCAAAATATATCACTAAAAATACCCAAATTTCCCTTATTTAGGATTGACCCTTAAAAAAAAAAAGGCATTTTAGTAAAATTTTATCTAGACTCCAACCAAATAGCAAACATATCCACCTATCGAGGGAGGGTGGGTCCAATTAGTAAAATGTCCCTACTTTGTTCAGAGCTCTCTAAACTTGAGGAATTAGGCTTAAAAATTAAAAAAATAAAGCATCTAATGTTAATTGGATCTTTGGCCTCTTTTTCGATGACTTTGCCTACGTTTTTACCCTTAATGATATTTTCCTTACAAAAATTAATGAAATACATTATTGGGAAATACTACAAAAGTGGCCCAACCCATGGGACTAGATGGAAGGCCATTATGCAGTTGCATGGACCATATTATAACATTCTATGCCCCATAAGTATCGGTCACGACAACCCTAAAAATCTATCTTGGTTTAGAGGCTTAAAATATTGAGGGAGAATTTTGTGTTTGCTTGATTTAAAGCCGAAAGGACATGCAAATGCTATTTTAATAGGGCACAGTCGTTTGGGTAACAAGCTTCTAAAGAATTTTTTTAAAGGCAATGTAAATATTAATCATATGACAATTTCAAGGTTTTGAATCGACAAAGCAATTGCAGAAATTTGAGTTTTAATGTCAATTCCCATGGTTAAATTGAAAAGAATGTTCCTTTTCTTTTGGAGGGGAAGTCTCATGACCCTCTCTCTCTCTCTCTCTCTCGTCGGTCTCGACGTCCTACGCCGTCCTTCCTCCCTTCCTCCTCCTACGTAGACGTCGCGACCGACGACAACCACGGAGGGTAGAG